ATATTTCTATTTGCATAAAAATGATTTGCTTGCTTTGGTAAAATGCCCACTTGAGGAACTACTTGATTGTCAAACTTTCTTTAGGTGCTCATGCTTTGTAAAGGTGGGCATATTATTCATATTTCCATCACTCATGAAGAATACAGAGAGCTGGAGAGTTTACACATGTTGTAATTCAGTAGCACAACAGTGCTACCAGACTCTGTTGTGTAGTTTGTAACTCTCATCTCAGAGTACAGACTCCTCTACTAGAAACATATGCAAATGCTATTTATGCTATATAATCTTTCTCTAATAACTAATTAAGCAAAGAGTATTGTTGGGATTACCCCAGGGATATAATTGGTCTTCTTGTTCCTCTTCCTTTTCTTCTTCCCCTTCTTCTTCTCCTCTTCCTCCCCTTTTCTCCCTGCTCTTTTCCAAATACCGCCTCCGCTGCCCTTACTCCTTCTCATTTTGGTTTTCTACATTTTTTCCCAATCAATCATAATGAAAGCTGAGTAATAAACTTGTGTGTCCTTCATAGCTAAAGCAAGACAATTTCAGTCTATGGTTTAGAAAGATTGCTTCCAGGCTGGAGCGAAAGAAAAAGAAAGCATTTATGCAAAAATCTCCTAACTAGCAATTCAGCTTTGAGATTTTCCTGGAGCCAATGATCTCAACCATACATATGGGAACTTGCAATCAGTAAAGCAATGATACTGAATTCACAGGCCACTGCAGCAAAGAAATGAAAAGGCATACAATATTCCAAATGTATGAAGCACTTGTTTCTATTAGGTGTTAAAACTAACACTGCTATACTTCTATTTTTCATAATTTTATTGAGAAACAAATAGCAATGAGACAGTTTCAAAACAAATTAGTAGGACAGTTTCAATAATTAACACATTGCATACATTCTTCCTAGTGGTTATTTGCTGTAAAAGATGCAGACATGATATCCAATTTACAAACACTATTAGAACAAATCACTCTATTCATTAAGAGAATGTACCTATATATCTATCCTAACCACTTTGAATACACAGATACAAAATGGACATTCGTCTGTATCCCCCTTTTTTGTTTAGTTCCCTCATTTGAATATTATAGGTGTGTTAACTCAGCAAAATATTCTAAAAGAGTCCAATAGTCCATAATTGTATTGGGTCTTGCTCTTGACTGGCATTGTCAGAACTAGTTGACCTGAGTCCCCTACAGATCAACATAACAGCATGGCTTTACTTCTTATACTTTGTTTTTGTACTTTTCTGCTGGATGGTTAAGACCAAGGTAAAGCAGGACCTATGCAACAAGAGTTGTAGCTTTTGGGTCTGATAAGGTCAGTGAAATCCCCTCAGGATTTATCCTGAGATCCTGTACCTTAGATTGTAGAAGCTTTGTCAGTGTCAGTCATGTGGCTGAGTCACAATCATTGCTTGGCCAATGTGCTGTCTGTGAAAGCCTGAGAGAATGCTTTCTCTCCATGTGACTCTCCTTAGGCACACTCTACATCATCGATCACTTTCCTCTTTGGCTCCATAATCTTCTTGATCAGAAAATTTGGGACACTACTGAGTTACATGACATTACAGTACAAGTTCTCCTATGTCCTGAGTCTTAATTGACCTTAGAAGGCTAGGGCCAAAAAGTTGGCTTTCCTTGTGGCCCTCCTTTTTCTCTAATTTTGGTCTGCAAACTTAGGTTGTTAACCCTCCAGAGGAGAAGCTTATTGTTATTACCATACAACTTAGGCTGTTAAGCTTAACCTCACTATCTGTGAATATCAAACATCTTAGGCATAATATGCAACAGGTATTTTTCATCAAATATTGATATGTTGAACTTTAAGTCCCTACAGAATATGATGAAAAAACATTTGAAAAAATAAAATATGTTTTACAAATAGTCATAAAGAATTGTATAATTCTTATCTTTACACATAAGTCCAGAAATCTAGCCATATACAACTTTATAGCAGGACAGTCCCACAACATTCCTTTTCCTGTCTCCTCTATTCATTCACCACCCCCTTCTTTTTCAACAATGATCTACCCGAGAGATAGCATGGCAACAACTGGCATGTCATGACAAGCAGCCTGTATTCAGAAGACCAGAATGACAGGCACTCCAAGCATGTACCAACTATTACAAATTGCCTTCTTCAGAGCAGTTGCTTAGTTCACAGGTGTCAGTATATATAGTTAGTCAGGGTGAGAGTCTTTCCAATTAACTGCTAGATTAAAAAATGTTCTGAAGATTCTCAGGATCATAGCCTTACCCATCTTCTATATATAACTGTATGGCTTGCCACTGTCATGTTTCCTAGCTCTTCTCCTTTCCCTCTCCTAACTATTTAGTCCTCAAGTTCTTGCATTCCTTTTAGTTGTATTATACCTTTGTATTTGTATTTCTTCTTTTGAGTTCTTATACTAGGGAAACTATATAATATTAACACATATGTGTCTGGTTTATTTCACTTATGAGTATATATTCAAGCGGCATCCACTTCAATATAAAGGCTTCAAGTTCATCATTCTTTATAGCTGTGTAATACTCCATTGTATAAAAATACCACATCTTTTTCATTCATTCTTCAATTGATTGCTGTCATTCTTATAGTGATTAATTAGACTAAAATGAGCTTGTCCTATTGTGTTCAAAGAAAATAAGTTATACTTGATTGTTTCTTCATTTTCTTTATTTAAATCAAATTTTCTTTTGTACTTTTTAAGGAAGGTTCTAAAGGGTGTTCAGAGTTTCATTACTAGATCAGACTCATAGTGATCCACCGGTTTCCAGCCTCCTGTTTCCACACCACCATGCCCAGCCTCAATTGCCGTCTCAGTGCGCTTCATGGGCAGGGCTGGAATTATTTTTACTTTTGCATATATGAATTAAAATTATAGAGACTGCTGGGTATCCATATATTTGTTTTACCTTTTCTACTTTTTTTTCTTTTGAAACTCTATTTAAGAAATACAGGGATACTTATTTATCACACATCTCAGAATTTCCTCTGAGGAAACTCTCAAAAGATTGAGAACTGCAGCTTGACCTTTGTGGACTGTTCCATTCATCAAAACTATGGGGAACATTCATCTATGGCTGAGGAACAGGACTTTAAAAGTGTTCTGCAGTGGATCTAGATAAGAGGAACCTACTCCCAGGTCCTGTGGCATCTCCTTGGAAAGAAGGATGAAAAAGAAGTGAAAATTACTGCTTATGGATCAAGCTCCTTTGTACAGTTTAGACTTCTTAAAAAATGATGGAGAAATTATTTTAGTACATGTTTAAAGTACATGGATGATATATTGAGTAAAGTAAAGTGGTCCCACACATTTAACTACCATAAGGTATTTCTCATTTGTGCAAGACAAAGTACCAAGAAAATAATAAAAGATGGCTAGAAAGAGACAAAAGGATGGATCTCTTGCGAATGGAAAGGGGTCTGAGAGACCAAGGGCAATGCATGAGGTGAAGCAGTTGGGAAAGTAAGTAGGACACAGATATACCATACACAGATTTTAGATTTGATCACTCATCATGTTTCATAATAGAATGGATTTTCCCCTGATTGGTAGATAAAGCAACGTGTAGTTTGAAAATTAATACTAGGTTTTAGGGTTTTTTTTTGGGGGGTGTGCCTACAGGGTTTCAGGGTCTCACTACTAGATCCGATTCATAGTGATCTGCCTGTTTACAGCCTCCCAAGAGCTGTGATTTCAGGCACCCCCACCCCCATGTCCTCTTTTAATTGCAATCTCAGTGCGCCCCTGGGATGGAGCCAGCATGGCAGGCCTGGGGATCGAACTCCCAGTCCCTGCCCCTCCAAGTAGCTTTTAGTTTGGAAGCTGATATTTTTCTGGGAATGTATGCAAATGATGGTCCCAAAACAAGGTGAACATAATTGATAGCATGCAATAATGTACATTCAGTGGTGAAAGAAAGCTTTAAATTATATTTATACATTTTACTACACTAAACAGGGGGAATAAAGTGTAGATGGATCTTGATAGAAAAAAAGAAAAGAAAAATCCAGTGAAAACTACCAAGAATTTTCTTCTGAATCAAGGAAGATTTCTCAAAATATGCATATCTTTTCTGTTTTGCTCTACCAGTAATTAGGAGGCCCTTGGAGATTGGGATAAAGTGGACTGCTTTGTCTAATTATAAGTTCTGTGCACTCAGCCTTCCAGATCATATAATAGGGAAAAATAACCAGCATTTGTCTGCATTCCTGCACTTTTGTGGCTTTGGTTCACAGGTCTCTGTGCAAGCATTTCTTCCTTCCATGGCTCACATCAGGAAGCCACTAGCAGACACAGTACTCATATCAAGATTGAAGAAGGCACCACAGCCATGTAAGTGCAAAAGGCAGTGACACTGGGCAGGCTCTGAGGGTCGCTATGTCTGAAATGAGGAACCTATCATTCCCTTGTGGAATAGATTTGTCCGTTTTCTGACTTTCAGTGCAAAAGAATAATTTTCATTATAAGTCAGTGAGAGAGATGAGAAGCATTTACTAGGCAGAGACTTTATTATGTACTATCAAGAGTGGATTTTGGGCACTGAGAGAAATAAGGTGCATTTTGAGCTGCAGTTGAATATTTAGGGAGTGTCTTCCAAAGACTGATCTAGGATGTCTTTTTTTACCATCTGTCAGGGTGCATATGTGGAACACTCCCTCAGAATGTATGCAAGCCATGTGAATACTTTTGATGCTTAAGTCTGGTGGGCCCCTCTGCATTTCTTCTTCTTGGTGGTGGAGGAAATGCAAATTTAAGAGAAAAATCACAGATTCAGTTTGGTATTATAGCCTTTATTTGTATTTAAGAATTTTAGGAATACTTTTGGGTGGGGGAGTCAGTTTTCTCAAAAAGGAAAGACCTTGGGTAATTTTTGTGTCTTGAAGTTGCAATTAATTTTCTTAAAATTTTCTTAACTTCTTCCTGCCTAGTTTTTATTCTTCTATCCAATCCTGCTGGGAGAGTTGCTTCAGCTCTTTACCCACGACCATGACTCAACACAGAAGCAGCCTTATCCAGTAAGTGCTGATTGAGAAAAAACTTTCAGAACCACATTTTCATTTTTCTCTTGGCTGAGACTAATAGGACAGTTCGTATACTGAAGGGTTTCTGATAGAGAACTTTCAGCTATGCAGTGCAAAGTGTGTGTCATGTGTTGGGTTGGGGGTCCCAAAGAACTCGTTTACTTTCCTCCTACACTTGTACTTATAGACATCTAACTGGCAAAAGCTTAGATTGAGCCCCACTACACTGAGGGTGATCACAGTATCACAGTTTAGGGCTTGATGAATTCTAAGCTCTGGGATGTGTTTCTGTAGCTTATTTCCTCTCATTTCATTGCATTCCACTTCATCTTACAATATTTCATTTTTATTTTCTTTTTTTTTTTTTGGTGGTACCAGGTGTCAAACTCAGGACCTTGCACTTGCCAAGCGGTACTTACACCAGTAAGCTATATCCCCGTTCCAATGATTTCATTTTAAAATGTACAATGTTCCATGAAACATAAATGTTCTCTTTGTCTCCAAGAAAAGCAAAGATAACTCTATTTTAATGCAACTACCTTCAGATTTTAGGGTGCAAAGAGGGAAGAGATTTTTTTGTATGTTTTCTTTTTTAGGGAAGGGTCTACAAGCTGTTAAGGGACTCACTATTAGATCGGACTTGTAGTGATCAGCCTGTTTGCAGCCTCCCAAGAGTTGGGATTATAGGCATGTGCCACCATGCCCAGTCTCAATTGCCATCTCAGCATGCTCCAGGCGCGAGGCTGGCACAGCCAGTCTGAGGATAGAACACCTGGCTCCTGAGCTTGCTTGCAGGTGCTTTAATCTGCTAAGCTGTTTGGCCAACCCAGGAGGAGGTGTTTGGTCTGTGCGAATACACACACACAAGGCATCCTTCCAGGAAAACTGGTGAATTGTCCTGTCAATGGCCTGGCATCATTTCCCTGTCACTGCAGAAAGCATCCATTGCTCTCTATGCACTTCAGTTTTGAGCTCCTGGTTTGTCACAGGACATAGCTATGCACTACTTTCTGCATCCAGAATGGGAAGGACTGACAAGGGTCACAGGTGATGACCACAGAAAAGGCAGGCACATGGTCATTCAGCACATATATTGCCCTGTTTCCATCTAATATTTCCTCCAGTAACCTGGCATGTGTCCCTTTTATCTAAAATGAAAGTGTACAGTGTGGTTTTTCATCCCTGTCCAGGTAACTTGCCAGAGTTTAAAAATATGCTTTGGGTATATATGCACTTATATTTTCTGGTTGTCATGATTTGGGGTTTTTGCAAGGGGAACAATAAAATACAGAACACATTTTACAATAGTATTTTGTAATGAATCACTCCAAGAATCATATAAGTGCAGGAAAACTGTCCATACACGTAACACTAGAGAATCCAGCTGCGGGTCTAGATCCTAATATACTACATGATCCAGCTGAAAATCTAGAGCGCATAACAATGCCTCCCACAAGTCCAACTGGGGGCCTGGAGCCCACAACAGAATCATGCAGGTCCACTTCACAGATCTGTGCTAGAAAGGCCTAAAGGATAGTGGTGGAAGCTATGAGGTCTATGAGAGTGGGAAGAAAAATTTGTGCCAGCAGGCTGAGGGATCTGAACTGGAGCCAGGAACCAATGCTCAAGGTAAGCACCAGAGCATTCCCAAATGTACCAAAACCAGCCTCAGCAACAAGTGAGGTCCCGAGCTCCTCCAGTGATGAGGAAAGCTGAGTCCATCAGGAAAGCCAACACAACAAGCTTCTTCATGAGGCTGAGCAGTACACTATCTTCCCCCTTTGGGGCCAGAAAGTGATGCTCAAGATGAGGACCAGAGCTCCTCCAAAGTTCATAGGGAAACCCAGCATGACAAGGTCCTCTAGCAGTGCAGCCTGAGAGAACTAGCAGCTCCCAACAGCTCCAACAGCTTCTCCAAACAGCATCCCTAACAATGATTTGGCAGCTTCTCCTGTTCTGCTTTTTATGCCATTGGCAACAGTCCTCAGGTGGGCCTCCCACACTCAGAATCATGCTAGTTTAATTCAGCTGGGTATAATAAATTGACCACCTGTTAGAAATCTACTACTCTGATATTGGCTTAAACTTTACAGGCAAGCACTGTACCGTTGAGCTACTTCCCCAGACCATTTTTCTTATGGTCGGGAAACACTGAAGAATCAGTGTGAGTGCATTGATTCCAAAGCCTGATAATTACCTTTTATGTTAGTACATAACTGTAGTAGTAATGTTTATACACCTTGTGGGGAGTTGGCGCATAAGTGTAACACATCTTAATTACAATTTATGTCCTCCTTCCAAGTACAAGATACGGGCATTAAAATTTCCCCGATCAATATTACCATGATGCCCTTTCTTTTCCAGAAGAAATGATCATAATTGTATTGCTTTTTCAATACACTGAGTGATTTTTTGTTTGTTATTTTGTAGAAGTTTCCAGCGGAATAAGAGATAAAATGTAATAGTTCTTGTTTATGTCTGCACTATGACAAAAACATCTCAATATTTTGTTTAACACCATTTCTGCTACTCAGTTACTCAGAGGCTGTAGCCAAAATATTCAGGGAATGTAAAGCAGTACAAGATGGCAGGAAATAAGAGCATGCAGCTTGTGGAGATAGGAAAGGGTTTTGAATTAGAGGAGTGAGAAAAAACTGACAGAGGAAGGGAAGGTAACAGTAAAAAGTTGTCACATGTATATATACTATTTCTCCATGTTGAATATACTTATGTACCACAATTACATGCCAATAAAAATTGTTGGTATATGAATAGGAAATCAAAGAATAAGCAGAAGTGGCACTGCAATAATATAGTATAATAATACAGAAATTGCATTATATAAGTATATCATGAAGTTCTTTAATTTTTAAAGGCTATATTTTCTGGACTCAGTGATATATTTGTACATCTTTTTTTTTAGTAAAAGGCAAAAGATTTATACGATCTGAAGAGAAACCAGAGTATTATTTGTACATCTTAAAGCACATTTAAAATTAAAAAAATAATGGGAAGAAAGACGAGTAACCTTTATGCTTGACATGGTTCATGCCTGGGATTCACTTCATTACTGGTTATACTAGCAAGTGGAAGTTGTTTCAACAGTGAAAGCAGAATATCTAATAACAAGGGGAGTTTTGCTTGAAGAAATACTATAGCAAAATTTTACTAAGTGTTATTTTTAAAGAGAAGAGGAGGAAAAATAGGAATAAAGCAAAGCAGAGTTTCAAATCAGGCTTATTGGACAGTAGTAATAATCAATACATTGCACATTGTTTTCTTCATAGTAGTTACTCAGAGAAACTTTGATGGGGAAAATGGAAAGGACAGAGGAGAAGAGAAAAAATATATACAAAATAATTAAGATAGCAAAACATCTACTTCCTCTCACTTCACTGAAAAAAAAAACAAAAACATCTGTGCTAGTATTCTTTGGACAATATTTAATACCTATCTCTTGTGCTCTAAATAATTGCTATGTAGATAACATTTTGCAAAGTACTTATTATTATTACTGTCCTACTATCCTGCATTGAATTACTTTATGTTGATTTTACTTTTTACTCTTTAAAATAAAAAAAGCAAAATTAAAATTTAAGATATTAAGTTTTAAGGATTCCTTAGCTGAATTTCAGGTTGTAGAGATCAGAGATTATTGCCCCTGTTTCTGTGAATCAGCATGAACAGAGAGGAGAGAGGTGTACTTGCAGCTACCTATAACAGTAAGTCCATGACAGGGATTTAATGTTGATTTTTCTCCCTTTCTAGTGGGGTACTCACTGTATGCTATAGAGTCAAATGGAAATATTATCTCTATGCAAAATGAAGGGTTTTTTCTTTTACCATTTTATGTTTTTATTAATTTTTTATTTTCAAGAGGAAAAACAAAAACAAGTAACAAGAAAAAATAAAGCAGCATAAAACAATAAAAATAGTACGGAATTTCAAAACAAGAGCAGAAAACTAGCAATAGAGTTGACATATTACACATTGCTGTCATCAAATTTGTTGCTGACACTACAAGATATAGGCAGGTAAAATTGATGAAACAGTTAAAATAAGGAAATCAGAAATGACAATAAATGAAAACTCTTGGAGTAAAACTGGCCTGTAATGTTTTTTTGGGGTGTGAACTAACCAGTTTAATTTAGTGTTGAGTAGAGCAGTCCTGGCACAGTGTTGTCTGTATTCTCAGTCACAGGAATGTGTACCATTGTTTAGCACGTGGTGTGTGTTCTTTCTTTTATCCAAACCTCTTTCCTCTTACAAAGGTGTCCAAACTACACAGAAGCACATAATCTAACACGTGTCTCAGAATTCCACCTCATGACTCTCTCAGAGGATCCAGACCTGCAGCCCGTCCTCTTTGGGCTGTTCCTATCCCTGTACCTGGTCACAGTGCTTGGGAACCTGCTCATCATTCTGATCATCAGCTCCGATTCCCACCTCCACACCCCCATGTACTTTTTCCTGTCCAACCTGTCCTTCTCTGACATCTGCTTCATCTCCACCACTGTCCCAAAGATGTTTATGGACATCCATTCTCAGAGCAGAGTCATCTCTTATGGGGGCTGCCTGATGCAGATGTCTCTGTTTATCTTTTTCATATGTTTGGATGACATGCTTCTGACTGTGATGGCCTATGACAGGTTTGTGGCCATCTGCCACCCCCTGCGATACCACAGCATCATGAACCATCATCTTTGTGGATTCTTCATATTTGTGTCTTTTTTATTTAGTTTTTGGATCTCCCAGCTACAAAATTTGATCATTTTAAACTTTGACTACTTTAAGAATACAGAAATTACTAATTTTTTCTGTCACCCTTCTCAACTTCTTAATCTTTCCTGTTCTGATACCATTAGCAAAAATGTAGTCATGTACTTTGTGGGAGCCATCTCTGGTTTTCTTCCTCTCTCAGGAATCTTTTTCTCTTATTACAAAATTGTTTCCTCCATTCTGAGAATCCCATCATCTGAGGGGAAATACAAAGCTTTCTCCACATGTGGGTCTCACCTCTCAGTAGTTTGCTTATTTTATGGAACTGCAATTGGAGATTACCTTGCATCTGCTGCATCAGATTCTCCTGGAAATAGTACAGTGGCCTCACTGATGTACACAGTTTTCACCCCTTTGCTAAACCCCTTCATCTACAGTCTGAGGAACAAGGACATGAAAAGTGCCCTGTGGAGGATACAGAACAGAACAAAGTAATCTCACTATCTCTTTTATTCTTCCTTCACTTTGCTTCTGAAAACGGGCCCAAGGATACAGTTGTGCAACATAGGTGCCTGCTTGGCAAGCATCAGATCCTGAGTTCAATCTCTTGTAAAAACAATCATTTAAATGTAGAACCTCTTTCTCTGGTCAAATTATTCTAACAGTTTCTTGGTTCTGGATGCACCCTGGAAACTATAATGGAATAGCGTTTCCTTTGCTTTGTCTTTAGTTGTATTGAGTGAATATTCTGGAATCATGAACATTGTGATTGCAACAGTATCTAAGACATATACTTAGGTATGTTATTCCTGGGGTTATATCAGGGTCTCATGTGGTTTTTTTTTAAATTAAAATCACCTAGGAAGGCCAAAAACACTAATATGTAGGTCCCTTCATCCGAGTTTATGATTTATGCAGTTGTAGCTAAATATGAGGTGTTTACAAAACTTCAGAGAAGACTGAGATGCTGGTGCATAAAGGGATCAAGCTCCCAACAGCATAGAGAAATGCGGTTGCTATAGCAGTCAGGAGGTGATGTGTTTTCCCTTAAATGTAATCTTTGAATGCCTTGTGCTCCAGGTGCACAAATCTTATCATTACTATCGCTGGTTTTAAAGATGTCTATCTGCTCCCTTCTGCCTTCAAATATTTACCTTTTGATGTTCAAAGAGGACTCCTAATATTCCTACTCTATTTTCCACTGGATGTTGTGTGTAAACATTATTGCTCAGGGTCACTAAATTTTGCTACCTTGAAAATTCATTTCATTCCAGTGTTTCCTTCATGTCCTCAAGCCCATAGTTTTAGATCCCCCATTTAGTATCCATATCTGTAATCATATTGCTCATTTTCCCCTTTATTTTGTAGTGACTCTTCAACCCACTGCCCATATTCAATTTTCTCCATTAAAATAGCTATATGTATTTTGTAATTCTTTTAAAAAATTTTTATTTTACTTTATTTTGAAAAGCATAAACAAAAGCAAAATCAATTAGCAGATGCAAACACAGAAAATGGGTAATGTACAACAATACCTATGTTACAGATATTACAATAGGTGATCTAACCACCATTGTTAATTTTCTATTTTGTAATTCTTAACAAGACTATGAGTGATAAATCATAATATGATAAACAGTTATGTTGCTGCCAGTTATCTACAACTGAAATATTTCAAAACAAGCTTAAGAAATAAAGCTAGTTTTAAATCTATGGATGTGTTTAGGTACCCAGCTGGAGTTAGTGGTGGTGCTCTGATGTTTTTTAGTTAAGCTATGGCTGTGGTGGTGTTTGCTGCTTATTGTGAACATCTTACTGTTGGTAAATTGAGTTTTGCTTTTTGTACTTTACCCAGGAGTTCCAAGGTTCATGCTACCAACTAGAGTAACCATTTTTTAAACCTAATTCATAGCCAAAATCCTTGAAAATTGTGACAGCAATGGTATATTCTGAAATCAGATAGTGGACACACCTCTGAAAGTTAGGTTTTGTGTTTTCCTTTTATTCAGTGATTTAGAATAATTTTATGACATATTAGCAGTTCTCAATGTAAAAGGTAGCAAAATTCAGAATAGCTATCCCAAAGTGTTATAACAGACTTAATTAAGATAAGTACTATATCAAAGAGTGAAAACCACATAATAATCTTAATAGACACAGAGAAAGACTTTGATAAAACTCAACAATGTTTCAGGATTAAGGAAAAAAACCTTAGGAAAACATATAAAGGTGGACCTTCTCCCAAACTGATACATATTACTTATGACAAACTCTCCCAGTAGAATAATTAATGGGGAAATCTAAATATGTTCTTTAAATATTGTAGGTGTGTGAATTCAGCAAAACAATCCAATAAAGTGCAGTAGTCCATAATAGTAGTGGGTTATTCTTAGCACTGGCAATATCAGAAGTGGTTGACTTGAGCCTTTTACAGCTCAGCATGTTAATATGGCTTTACTGTCTGACAAAACTAAACAAAAAAGGGGATATAAATGAAGAACCATTTTGTATCTGTATATACAAAATAGTTAGGATAGATATACAGCTACTTTCTCTTAATTTGATGAATACAAAGATTTGTACTAATAGGCTTTGGACAGGATATCATGACTGCATCTTGTACTATGAATAACCACTACAAAGACAACAATATACAATGTAATAATTATTGAAACTGTACTACTAATCAGTTTTGAAACTGTCTCATTGCTATTTGTTTCTCAATAAAATTAATAAAAAAGTACATCTTTTACAAACATGAAAATGACACTGGTGTCTACTACCCTCACTAATGTTTCATGTAGTAATCAAAACTATCAAGAGTAGTGAGCAAGAAGAAAAATAAAAAGGATAAGCAAAGAAAAAGAAGTCAAATGTTCTTTGTGTGCAGAAGATATTAATCTTGTATTTGAATCAAATCAAAATGGACAAAATATCTAGATATGGCAACAGAAACACTGAGTTGTTTAGAAGACAGAACAGGTAAGAAATCTTAAAGACACAGGCAAAGACTTTCTGGACAGAATCTCTATTGTTTAGTAAGTGACTGGTTATAATAAACTAAAAAATCTGCACAGCAAAGAAAGTAATCAACAGAGTGAAGAGACAAACTACAGAATAGGGAAAATATTTAGAGCTATTCCCCAGAAGACTATAATCTAGGATGTATAAAAATGAACAAATTTGACCCCAAAACAAAGAACAAATTGAAAATGTCAATTGAGATCCATCACTGCTGTGTTCCTCTGGAGATCCGTATCCCTGAGCCGGGTGGATAAAAAAGCAGAGCTCCAACACGCCGGCCTTCCTTAGCAAGCTGTGGATGCTGGTAGAGGAAGTTCCCTCCAAAGAGTTCATCAACTTGATCCAGAATATTCAGAGTTTTTTGGTCTTGGATGAACAAAGATGTGAGAAAGAAATTCTTCCCAAATTGTTAAGCACACGAACATGGCGAGCTTTGTGAGGCAGCAGAACACATTTGGTTCCTGCAAAGTAGTGCACATCGGCTCTGGAATTGTAATGCAGGACAGACGGAATTTTGTTGAATTTCAGCACCTGTATGTCCTTCCGGCAAGGCCAAGATGACTTGCTGGAGAACATAAAAAGGAAGGTTTCATCTTCAAACCAGAAGATAATAAAATTCGTCAGGAAGATTTAACAAACATCATGAATAGCGCTTAGAAGGTTCAAGTAAAATAAAAATCTTTTGAGTCCAGGCTTTCAGAGTTAAAAAGTGAGACTGAATGAAGAGACAGGAAAAAAGAAAGTGAGACTGAGTCCCTTTGGGAAAAGTTGTCAGAATTAAGAGCAAAGCATATGGTTGGGGAGATGGCTCAGTAGAATAAGCATTTGCCTGGCAAGCGCAAGGTCATGAGTTCAATTCCCAGGTCCACCAAAAAAATTACCTAGCCTTTCAAGATCAGTGAAGACTCAGGGCATAGGAGATCCTGTATTGTAACATCATGTAACTCATTCGTGTCCCAAATTTTCTGATCAAGGAAATTATGGGGCCACAGAGGAAAGTGATCAATGATATAGACTGTACCTAAGGAGAGTCACATAGAATAAGAAAAAATTCTCTCAGGCCTTCATAGAGGGCAAATTGGTCAAGCAATGGCCATGACTCATCCACATGGCTGACACTGACAGAGGATCTACAAACTGGGGTACAGGGTTTCAGAATACATCCTGAGGGTATTTGACTGAAAAAGTTACATTTCTTGTTATATAGGTCTGGCTTTATCTTGATCTTAACAATCCAGCAGAAAAGTATAAAAATGAAGGATAAAAAGTAAAGCCATATTAGTATGCTGAGCTGTAAAAGGCTCAAGTCAACAACTTCTGACTTTGCCAGTCCTACGGAAAACCCACTACTATTATGGACTATTGGGCTATAGTGGAATATTTCGCTGAATTCATGCACCTAAAATATTTAAATTACAATGGAATACCTTTCTCTGACAAAACTAAGGAAAAAAAGGGATACACATGAAGAACCATTTTGTATCTGTATATTCAAAATAGGATAGATATACAGCTACTTTCTCTCACTTCAAAGAATAGAAAGATTTGTTCTAATAGTGTTTGTGGACAGCATATCATGTCTGCATCTTGTACTATCAATAACCACCAAGAAGACAACAATATGAAATGTATTAATTTTTGAAACTGTCCTACTAATCAGTTTTGAAACTGTACCATTGCTTTTTGCTTCCCAATAAAATTATTTTTAAAAAGTGATGTTTTGTAGCATAATTACGAACAATCATTTCTGGACCTGGGAAGAAATTCACATCCGCAGTTAATTTGCTTACCATGAATCTGAGGTTCAGAGAGGAGCTCAGAGTTGCCAAAATTCACTGGCTTAGTAACCAAGACATATGGGATGAAGTGTCTTTCATGGAGGAGCAATCTTATTTTATCCGTATCTCTATCTTTTTACATTTAATCTTTATTTGTATGTGGGTGTGACATATAAAGTTTACATGTATTGCAGAAATTTGGGATACACACACATTGTACTTTGGTAATCTTTAATCTCCTTCCATGGCCCTTACCTCTTTTTCCTTTTTGAAACTCCCTTTCTGACTCCATGAAGTCTACTTCTCTGTTTTCTACAGTTTCTCTCTTACTGCTCTTCATTTCATTTGGTGTTTCTCATATAAAAGGAATTGGGTGCTATTTAATGTACCTGTAGATAATTTGTTTCACTTAGTATTACAGCCTCAAGATCCAACACTTTTCCAACAAATAATTGGAATTTATCTTCCTGGAAGGCTGTGTAATACTCCTTAGTGTATACATATGTACATCTCCTCGGGCCAGGGAGATAGCTCAGTAGAATAAGCGACTGCCTGGCAAGTGCGAGGGCCTGAGTTCAATCCCCAGTTCTGCCAAAAAATATACATTTTATTTATTTATTTACCTTTTATGGGCATATAGGCTGCTTCCATAACTTAGCTATTGTGAATTTTGCTGCCATTACCGTGACTATG